TGATGTTTGGTACGTGTCCGTCAATGGGTTCGGCAACGCTCTCGGGAGTTAGGCCTCCGCCGTCATTGGTATGCAGAGTATGCGGGTATCACTCCAGCGATTTGGACAATTTATGCAGCCATTTGGTCACATGCCATCTTCCGTGAGATGTGGGCCCGCCCATATCACCTGCCCCAGAGGCAGATCTCGGAGTATTATCCTCTCCTGGGCCGGCCGCTGCTCAGGTCGGAGGTGGTGGCGATCGAGGATGTGCTGGAGCGCCCCGCGTGGCTGAGGGACCCGTCGCCAGGCCCTGCGAGCAAAAGGGGCCGCGGTGGCGACGCAGGCGGCAGCAACGTCGGGGAGGAGGCGAAGAAGGCGGCGCGCGGGCAAGACGCGCTGGTCAAGCTGGTGCTCATCCTCGGCAAGCTCGTGCTCACGGACAGCCGTGCGCTGGCAGAGGTGTCGAGCACGGTGTGCCGCACGTGCGACATCTGCGCGGACGCGGACTTCGCGGCGACGAACGAGAGCGCGGGGGCGGACTACAACGACCAGTCGCAGGAGCTCAAGGCCAAGGCAAAGAAAGGAGAAGCCGTCGACTTCCAGAGCAGAGGACCGCCCTTCGTGACCATCTTCGTGACGACCATGCACTGGGCGGCCTCGCAGTACAACAAAGAAGGAGTGAAGCAAGAGCCGTGGATGGCCATTGCTCGAGAGTTCTACAAGGAATACCTGTGCAAGGCGTCGGCGGTGCAAGTGGGGGAGCTGGTGCTGCATTGGCAATGGAAGCGCAACAAGAACAAGACGGAGAGCAACCCGAGGGGCAGGTTGATCATTGCATTCGACACGCAGCACCCAAACTATGCGCAGCTGATGCAGATCATGGCGGCCCTGCTCGAGACGCTGAAGGCGGAGAGGCGCATCGGGCCCGCGCCGAGGGGCCCACTGGAGCGGGGCGCTTCGAAGCTGCTGGCGGAGTTCAAGTAGACGGGCGCAGCCCAGGCATAGTAAAAGGAGGTAGAGGTAGCAGCAGTAGCGGCATCAGCTTTTTACAGTCAAGTAGGTTGCCCTTGAACAGCTGACCCGCGTCGGATTCCCGTGGCGTCAGTCACCAACATCCGCTGCGGGCGAGTGAAAGGTTGGCCGACCTAATTCGTAGGGGTTTAGTGTCTTCTGAAGTTTTGAACCCGCGACCCCCCCCCCCCCCTTTGCCCTCAGCAAATGGTTCTGGAGTGCCCAATGCCCCGACCATCCAAGAGAGGGGGGGCCTTCAAGGGCCAAGGGCAGGGGCAAGGGTAAGAAGGGTTCTCGGTAGCACTCTCACTGGTCCCCAAGAGCGGGCCCTCCGTATGCTGCGCGCCGTCCAGGGGGTGCTCGTAGGGGCGGTGCGGCGTCCGTCGTGAGCCACGGGCCGCATCTGACGGTTTGGCGAAGCACGATTCGCCCCCCAGAGTTCCCCTAACTGTGAAGGTAGGCGGTGTAGGCAGGCGTCCAACGGTTGCTGTTGAACTCCCACGGGCCCAATCCCAATCCCAATCCTCCTCCTCCTCCTCCCTTTCTTCCTCTTCCTCCGTAGCCATTTTGGCTCAAGATGTTTTTGTCCCTCGGACAGGAAACGGATACCTCCAGTCCGAGGATAGCTATCGATTCAGGCAACCCCAGTCGAGCTGCTCGCTGCTGGGGCCGAGAGTATACCTCACCGGACACAGGCCCGAGCACCTGTCGACATCTCTATGCGCTGTGGCATGGGAGTCGACCGTACGCGCATGGGTGAGAAGTCTGACAAGAAGGAGAAACATAATCGCAAAGCCTCTAAGGCCTCCAAGAGCGATGGCACCCCTGGTCGGAAGACTCGGGGTCGGGCTCCTGGTCCTATGGACTCTGGTGGTGAGATATTGCCTGTCTCGCCTGGCTCGACGCCACCTGCCCCCCCTAGGCGTGAGCGCAAGTCTCGGGCGGCATCCTCTCATCGTTCAAGGAGATCCCCTTCTGCCATCGAGTGCCTCTGGCGCGTGACTTTGGCGAGCCCCCCAAAGTCCTGAGCTTGACAGTGTATGCTGGGGGGGAGAGGGAGAAGAGACCGGTCCGTGACCACTTTGGCTCAAGTCCTTTTTCTCCACAGCCAATCCCGATTCCCTCACCTTCCACTTTCCCCAACACCTACTCCCCATCCGCCTGGAGGGTCACCGAGCTGATAGAGAAGTCTTGGATACTGTTCAGAGGGGACATCGCCCGTTTGAGAGCACCGTCGCGTTCGAAAACGCCATCGCCAGGGGGACAGTGGTTGCGGAGCGTCCGAGGGCGTCGCCGTGGATCTGCGGAAGTCATGACGGGATCGGAGAGCGGTGTTTTTTCTAACGACGATATTAGGAACAGGGGCCAGGAGTCTATCGAGCAGGTGATAGGGATTGCTCAACAGTGGCAGAACGAGGACGGACAGTTTCAGATCACGATGGAACAGATGCGAGCCCTTCTCGACCAGGCCAGAGGTATCATGGCGACTGCAGCGTCGAGTGCCAGCCAGGGCGAGAGCCCAGAGGCCACGGCGGACGTGAGCATAGCCAAGGACGGCCAGGGAGAGAAGGGGGATCCGCGGCAGCAAGGGGGACGAGATCCGTGGGATCAGTCTCGCCGTTCGGATGGCTGGTGGAACGATTTCAGCAGCTGGAAGAACTACGCAGGCGGTTGGACGGACAGATCCCACGGGTGGAAGTACATTGGCTGGGAGAACTGGAATTGGCATGAGAACACGTGGAGTGAGCCGTCGAATGCACAGAAGTGGAAGAGCGACGAGAAGCCCAGAGGAAAGGACTTCACGGACCTGGACGCTTGGTCCCGGTGGCCAGAGTACAAGCTGTGGCGGAGGAAGATAATGCGTTGGAGGCAGACTACAGATGTGGTTAGGCATAAGCACGCAGACCGCATCATGAAGCTGCTGCCGCTGGACCTTCAACGCAAGCTGGAAGACATCACAGATGAGGATCTGATCTCCGACGGCGGCGCGGACAAGGTCATCGCCAGGTTAGACTTGCTGTGGGAGAAAGAGTCGGAGATGAAAACGCAAGGCAGGACGAGAATGTCTCTTCTGGTTCCAGCGAAAGCAGGGAGAAGGACTCACAGAATATGCAGCGAGGCTTGATCTAGCTTTCGACAAGGTCGGCACTCTCGGCCTTCCCCTGCCAGACGATTGGAAGCACATGTTTCTGGAGGAGGGTGTTGGCTTGGACGAGCGAGGCACCCAGTTGATGAAGTTGCAGATGCGACCAAGGATTCGTATCAAGAGGCACTGGCGGCCAATCGTGAGATGGACGTGACCAGGCGCGAACATCTCAGCCACCAACGGTCCAAGGCTTACCACGTTGAGCAACCAGAGGTTGCCGGGCAAAGTTTCCCTGTACATGGGCCCAACCAACTCCGCCGACGACCGGGGCGCGGACTCGCTGCTCGACTGGGATGACGCTTCATCGCTGGACGCGGAGGGTGAAGCGGAAACATATGTCGCTCTAGACCAGATGGACCTCTACGATGACGAGCTCAAGTACGTCTTCAGCACGATGCAAGAAGACAGGCGCAAGACATGGGAGCAAAATCGAGCCCTGAAAAGAAAGCTCAAGGTGGATCGCAAGTTCCTTGACCGCTCCAGAGAGATCGAGATCAAGGTAGGAGATCGAGACAAGGGACGGTTCAAGAAGGGACATCGCTCGGCAAAAGGGGAACATCGGTCCAGGCACAATCGACTGCCCCTCGCCGAGTTGATCAAGAGGACCAAGTGCAGGACATGCGGAAAGAAAAGGCCATTGGTCACGCGAGTGTCCAGACCGGAACGGCCAGAGCCACAGTGCCAGTGCAACCGGAGGAGGGGCAGCGTCATTCGTCACCGGCTACGTGCACGCGAACGTCCTGGACCCCAGCGTCGTGGAGAACGAGGCGGGCGGCGGAGAGCAGCTGCCGCAGCAGGACGAGCTCGCGCTGCTCACCGCCCCGCCTGGGGAGGCCGTGGTGGACACGGCGGCAGGACAAGGACTGATTGGTTTGCCATATCTGAATAGGCATGTAGAAGCTTTGAGGAGCAAGGGCCTCAGGGTCCCGCTCGTGGCCCCACGGAACCCATCGGCCAGAGGAGTGGGCGGAGGCGCGAAGGCGCTTCACACGGCCCTCATTCCCACGGGGATCCAGGGAAAGTCCGGGATCTTTGAGCTCGACGTTCTTAGAGAGGACGTTCCGCCCCTGCTTCCAGTAGGCTTTCAAGAAATGCGGGGGTCCAGAATCGATTTAGAAGAAAACACCATGGACCTCAGGCGTTTAGGAGTGAAGGTAAGAATGCAGCGTCTGCCCGGCGGGCATCGTACCATCAAGATCGATGATTTTCCGGGCTCCGGCAAGGATTTTAATTCCCCATTCGGTCTTTCAGCGGCATCCTTCGCTGAAAGAGAGTGATTTTCATTGTGGCGACAGCCGCTCAGGCAGCTCGGGAAATCATTCACCTTTCTACTTTGCCTCCAGCGTCAGCCGAGGGGACCGTAGGAGCCTAGTCGAGTCCGGCCGTGGCGTCTCCAGGGTCTCCGGGGCGGGTCCTACTGTTTCCAGCCTGGGCATCCGGGAATCCGCGAACGATTCAGGTCAGCCGTTCCGAGAGATGAGTACTGGTTGAGCACGGATCTTCGATCTGGATCAGGTCGCGGCGATGAACGCACTAAGAGAGGCCCGCCAGGAGGAAGAGAGGCGAAGAAGACCAGTACCACGGGGCCGACCTGGTCTGGATCGGAGACCCGGTCGAGACGCAGCTCGTGGAGACGATGTTGGTTGATAGTATCGTTTCTATCCGGGCGGCTCAAGCATCTGGGCCACCTCAGTTCTCGGTGATCCTATTGGCATCGATTACCGAGCTCAGCAGCTTACGACAGCGGACGATCGCCATGCCGAGGAGCCAGCCTACCGAGGCCCAGCTTCGAGAGAGACGCCCAGCTACCATGGCCGAGCAGATGGCCGGGAGCGATGCGACATGGACGTACGCAGTGACGGGCACGACGGTACCAGACAATCTCAACAAGGCACAGCGCGGCTGGGCCAGCATGGTCGGCACTACAATGTTCTGGCTCAACAAGACCGCCGACCGGACGCATGATGGTGACGCGTCGTTTCTGGTCCACCAACTTGCCCAAGCAGCTCAAAGTCGTTCCTCGAGCATACTTCAGCTGCTGGCATCCACCGATCAACGTCGAGCACGGCAGCAATGGATATGGCTCCTGGTGGGTATGCTCTGGGTGCACTATGCGAGTGGGGTACCTCGACAAGAAGCCAGACAAGACGAAGAAATACCCAGACGTGATCTGCCTGTGCAAACGCAAGACCGCAGCATGTTCACTCTGCGGTCGTGGCTTCGCCCAGCAGAAGGGCGCCGACCCGGAGTGGAGAGCTTTGTGGCCGCTCCGGCACCGCCGCCAGGCACTCGCGGGATCACCCCAGCTGGAGCGCCGCCGCCCTGGCCAGCTCAGGCGGGCCCAGGAACCGCCCAGCCGTGCGCAAGGGCGAGCGAGGCCGACAGGGCGGACTGGATAATGGGCGAGGCAGAGGAGGACCTGCGGCGCAAGAAGCAGCTCCAGCGGCAGGAGGCGAACTCAGCTGCGGCGGCGGCTTCCGGACCAACCACTCCGCGGGAGCAGCGCAGCAGGAAGACGGAGAATGGCGAGGAGATCGCGGAGGTGATCAGGATGCTGAAGGACATGGGCACCAAGCAGGAGCAACAGCAGAACGCGATCGACCAGCTGACGAAGATCACGTCCGGCCAGATGCATGCGATGGCAATGCTTCAGTCCCAGGTGCAAGCGCAGGGCCCAGTGAAGGAGCAGCACCTGGTCAAGGAGCAGCCGCAGAAGATGTCGCCGGGGCAGTCCTCGCAGCAGCCAGCGCCGAGTCAAGAGAGGAAGCCAGGCACTGCATAACCAATCCCAATGGCGATGGCAGAGCCAGCGATGCCGGGAAAAGGGTTCGCCTCGGTGGTTCTCCCCAACGGCGGCAGAGGTGCTCCATCAGTCTTACCTGGAGGAGCAGGTGCGCCAGGGGGAGCTCCTCACCAGTGCATCGGAACGCCGGAAGGGGGGCACCAGACGTCCATCGTCACGACGCCCCACATCTTGGCGCAGCAGACGCCCCCAGAGGCCTCCTTCCAGATGATCTCGACGGCTCCGTTGGTGGCAGCCTATCCCTCCCACGGGGCTGCTCCGCCCTTGCAGGGTCCGCAGGGGCAGGCGAAGGGCTACAGCAAGGAGCCGACCAACCCGACGGGCCTGGAGGATCGGGAGGGCAATCTGTTGTCTTCTACCACGATCAGCAGCATCGACCTTCCCACGTCGGGATTGCTTTCCCAACAGTCGGTGGCGGTCCCGCCCCACAAGCGGAATTCTCAGCCTCCGAAGCCCTCTGCCGAGCACGGAGATCCCTGGGCAGAGACTCCGGAGGCGAAGCAGGCGCGGGATCGGCGCCGGAGAGAGGCCGAAGAGGCAGCCAAGCGCAAGAAGGATCGCCTGACCAGGGACGGCTGGACGGCGGCGGGGTGGAAGTCGCGGGGCGGCCTGGACCAGAACTGGGTCGACGACGACCAGAAGTGGGACAAGGGCGGCCGGAAAAAGTGGTAGGAGAGTCTCCGCTCAAGGGTGATCCACTCTCGAGCATCGTCCGAGGCGTTTCAGGCTCCGACGGCACGAGGAGCTGGGACGCCAAAATTTGCATTACTTTCGGATCGGATCCGAAAGGTGTCAGGCTTTTCAGGGCCATTTTGATATCGAATGGGAGGGGGGAGAGAACGGGCACGTTCGATTCGAGTGTTCAGAGCTCGACGACTCCATCTTCCACGACCCCTGGTCCGACGATTTAGAAGTGATGATGACCAAACGTCTGAAGAAAACCATCCTCAGGGATTCGGGCATCAATGAGCGTTGCGGGCTCACTAAATGTTTCAGGAATCGCCTGCGGGGCCGAGTTTTCATGGAAGTATTTTCTCTTCCGCGAGTGGCGCAAGTCGCTCAGCGCGCGGGAATCTCGCGTCTAGGTAGTTTCGACAAAGAAGGGGGGTGGGATTTTGCCAGGAAAGGGGACCAAGACAAGCTCAAGGCTCTTATTAGAGAAAAGAGACCCTGGGTGATTATCTTAGAACCTCCTTGCGGCCCCTTTTCCATTTCCAGGAACGCCTATGCTCATCAGGAGATAATCGAGGTGCAGCGGCAGAAGGACGGAGAGGCGCTATTTCTGCTAGGCTTTGCGATGGAGATCGCAATGATTCAGGTCGAAGGCGGCCGCAAATTCGCTGTTGAACACCCGTCCAGTGCCTCTTTCTGGTCGACCCAGGCAGTGCAGCATATCATGCGCCTGGCGGGTTGGAATACATCAATATTGATATGTGTCACTTCGGTCCCACAGCGGACAGGAGTGGGGCTTTGTCCAAGAAGCCGACCCGTTTGATGTCCAATTGCCCTAAGTTCCTAGAGCGTTTTGTCTCAGCCAAGTGTTCTAAGGATCATGTTCACGTTCAACTTACCGGGGGGGGGGGTGACTTCAAAGGCTCGCGTGTATCCGCCTAAGTTCGCCAAGGTTTTAGCCGAGGCCGTTGGGGCCAGCGTGGAGGGCGACCAGTTAGATCCCACCCCACAGGAGATCAGAGTGGTCCGGAGGTCTCAATATCACCCTTCAGTCAAGTCCCCGGGGGGAAGCAGTTTCCCCACGGACGGGGGGGACTTAGCTAGTTCAACTGGGGCGGTAGACGGAGGAAGCGAAAAAAGCCCAACCCGAAGGGGAACAGGGCGAGGAGGCGGAAGCCGAGGAAGAGCAAGAGACCGAGAGGTTTGTCATCACCGCAAAGGTGAAGCGGATGATTCGCAAGGTGCACGTAAATCTGGCCCACCCTCACAAGGATGTTTTTCTTAAGATACTCAAGGCGGCCCATGCCAAACCAGAAGTTTTACGGTGCGTGAGGCACGAGTTCATCTGTGGGGATTGTCAGGCTCGTCCAGGACGGCCATGAGCAGGCCAGCGGCGGTTCCAAGGACGTTTGAGTTTAACAGAATCATGGCCCTCGATACGTTCTACCTCACGTTTCAGGGCGAACAGCTGGCTTTCTTCAACGTTATACGTCACGGGATTTTCAGGTTGTGGAGCTCTACGACGGCACGGCTCTTGGCACTTGGAGAGCGTTTATGCGTGCCTGGGTCAGGCCCTTCGGTCCACCAGTGTTCGCCAACGCCGCTGGGGGTCCCGAGTTTAGGGGGCAGTTCGAAAGGGGGGTTGAACATCTAGGCATATTGCATCGCATTACCGACTCGGAGGGCCCTCGGCAGAACGGCGGGGCCGAAAGGCATGGGGCGCGGGTGAAAGAAATTCTGCTGGAAGCCTCGGAGACGACCCTCGTCGCCACGGTGTCGGAACTCGAAGCGCTGGTCCATGAGGTCACGGCGGCCAAGAATCGGTGCCTCCACCGAGGCGGCTTCACCCCGTATCAGCTTGTTTTTGGGATTTATCCTAGGATTCCCAATGACATCCTGGCTGATGATCCGCTCCAGGTCGTTGGGGTCGAAGATCTCTCCCCGGGGCCCTGGGGCCGGGGCGCCGCTTCGGCCGAGTTCGCGAGGAGAGATGCTATTCGACGGCGCGCCCGCAAAGAACTTTTTCAA